AAAAAAAAAAGAAAGAAATGAACTAACACTTGATATACTCTGATTAATATTTGTTGCATATTGAATAATTGATAAATCAATAAAATATTGAACACCTAAAAATTGAGTTGTATAATTAAGTGATGTTCTATTATCTAAAAATAAAACAAAGACAATTATTAAAAAATTCTTAATTTCTATAAAATACCTTGACAATAATCTTCTGGTGAACGTTTCCATAAATAATCACTTTCAGAAAGTTTAACCTGTTGAGCACGATAATATGTTAAACCATTTCTATATTCAAACGTAAAAAAAAAGTCAAAAAAAAAAAAATCAATAAGAAATTAAAATCATACTCTTGCATTCGTAATGTATATTGAACTTGATCTGGTATTAAAGCAGAATTATTACATGATGCATCAATATTAGTAAAATAAATATATGCAAAAATTGTTTCCAATGTTGAATTTGATAAAGATGATAAGGTTGGATCCGAAATTGCTTGAACTTAAATATTTTATATTTTATATTAATCAATTTTAATACAAAACTTTTAACATATTTTCATTGACAATAGAAATCATGTTCAAGTGACCAGAAGTTAATTATACTGAAGACTTCCTTTTTTTCTTTTTTTCTTTTAATAATCATCATGTTTTTTTTTTCTCTTAAAAACGGAACTACTCAAGTTTAGCTTGTCGGAAATTTATTCATGAAAATATGTAACTAGCTGTATCTTTCTTTTCTGTATATTCGAATCCAATGAAATACAATAATAATTCTATAAATATACCGTTGCTAGTAAAACCGGGAACATTTTGTGTTAGACTATCAACAGCATTTCTTACAATTGTATCCGTACATAGACTATCTATATATAAATATAATTGAAATGTTTAAAATAAATAATAATAATAATACAAACTTACAGGGATAATAATATGTTACATTAGCAGTCGTACTATTACTTAACATTGAATCATGTGGACGGAATGGTGTTATTTGTCGTGCTTGATAATAGTTACGATCGAGAAGGTATCGCATACCAAGTAGAAGAGCCAAAAATACATATGCAAGAAGAAATTCTGCTATAGTTTGACCACGTTTACGCTTTGTTAAGAGAAGCATTTTAATAAGAAGAGCCCAATATTCACCAAGAAATTTCATACATCCTGCATGCCGTTTTGGACCTTCTAGTGAATCCATGATTGTTAAATGTCTATCTAGAAAATGCAAAACAACATTTTTTATATATTTTTCTTCAAAAAAAAAAAAAAATGTTCTCAAAGCATCTGAGCTTAGTATTTTTCTGGTTACACAATCAATTGCATTATGCTCCTTTTTTTTTCTTTTTCATTCCTGTTCATTTTTTTGAGACAGACAAAAGTACTCATGTTAATCACATTTGTGTGCAAAAATATGAATAACACTTGCCATCAAAAAGGAAGAAACAAGAAGAAAAAAAAAACTCAGTTCGTCGAATGAAGGCAAAATAATTTTTATTTACATCGTGGTTTTTTTTTGTTACAAAATAAATTAACTATATTACTATTCATCTAAAGTAATATAACTTACTAATTTTGATAAATTTTCAATACTACTAACTTTTTTTTGATTTTTTCTAATATAGAAATCAATTATTTAATATAAAAGAGTGAGTTTAAAAAACAAAAAAAAAAAGAAAATCAATCAACCATAAGTGATATTGTTAAATATTTACTTGGCTTCATTTCTTTTTTTTTTTTTCTATGATTATTTTTTAGTGTGAAGAGAATGAAAAACAAAAGTAATAGAAAAAGTGTCGCAAACAGTATAGATACTATTTGTAAAATTATGTAATGTTCAATGGAAACTAGAGATCAGCAAAATTAAACTTTTTTAGAATCCAAATTCGTCAAAGTTTCATGTAGTTCTCTAATAGAAATGGAAAGAGATTTTATTATTCAATATTTCATTTATTGATAATCTGATGTAATTTTTGTTTTTTTTTTTCATAATAAAGAAAATCATCTTCGTTTCTATTAAGAAAACATA